CCCATTTTCCGCGTAGAAATCGATACTAACGCGGGGTTTTTTTTTTCAAATGTTGAAAAATAACGTCCAAAATGATTGATTTCCGTAAAACAAAGCATGAAAGTAATCAGTTACGCGAGTGTGTCTTAAGAGCTACTTAAAACTGTCAGGTTGACAGACTTGGGGCGGGAAATGTTATAACAGTCGGAGAAGAATGATGACTCATACAAATCTACGTTGTGGGGGCCAAGAGGTCTTCGTTGGAACAGAGCCATTGGCGATGGACAGACTCACAGGCCCACGCTGTTCAAAACCGCTTTAGAGTTTCAAAAAGAGTTTGCTTTTTTCCTGGTGCTTCGACTCATTTTTGTACGTTATGGGTTTTATTCTTTTTTTTTTTTTCATTTTGGTTTTATTTTGTTTTTGCTTTTTGTTTTTTTGTTTGTTTGCTGTTGTTTTTTTCGTCTATTTTTTTTTCTTTGAAGGGGAGGGGAATTGTTTTGTTTGTTTGATTTGGGTTTTCTTTTCCCCCCTTTAATTTACGGGGCAAAGTTCTAGAACTATTTTCAGATCCTGTTGACACTCCCAGTGTCTGGATGTTATTGTTTCTATTTATCTCTTTTTAAAGAGGGTAAAAATGAGTAAAGAGCTGATAAACAAGTCTAGATGTTAGCAGATGAGAAGAAAATGTTCATAACAGGTTGGGGGGGGGGGTTCTTTTAGATAATCAAAAGCCGAGAAAATCTAGATTAAATACGATAACAGCAGAATATTTTTGTAGAGCCGGTGTGATATTTTGTTTCAAGGTATAAAGCAAAAATAAAAAGGGGGAAAAACGAAAAATATGTCCAAATCTGTCTATGTATTTTTGTATTTCGCTTCCATGGAGCTTTTTCACATATCTTTCATAAACACCAATGATTTAGAAACAATGCGTGCCAACATTTGTTTTGTTTTTATTCTATAAGTTAGACTTAGTTCAAATTTTAATATCTACATTTTGACCAAAGTTCTCTGAAAGCATTGTCTGTGGGATCTTTCGCCCAATCCTGAAGATAATCTGTCTCGTGTGGTCTTCTAAATGTGTCTAGATTATTTTATCCCACTTTTATCTTCTTTCTACTTCCTTTTTATGTTTCTATATTTTCTATTCTATTTACGTGAAGTAAAGAAAGTAACTTATCACGCTTACTGGTGGTAAACTCGACTTGGAAACCTCACCTAGTGTTCATGGCATGGAAAATCTCAAGCGTGGGCGGTTGGTGGGTACTCTGGTGTGGTTTTCTTTTTTGCGTATGCTACTCTCTTCTAACATGTCTATTCGTAGGCACTTATATGACCTTATTTTGTTACAAGTGCCGTAGAACTCTTACTAAAACTAAAAAGTCTCAGGCTGTGATACGACGTGTATGTGTTACAACAATTTTATGTTCTTATACTAAGCGTCCAGGTTACAACCGAACTCGGCAACCAACGGCTGTTGTCGTTGTAGTTCTGACCTGCTACAAACCGCTACTTCACTTTTCAGACAGTCACATGACTCCGGGAAATTCCCTCTGTTCCTGCTGGTTTGAGGTCACTGTGCCTCCGTGGAGTGTTACAATTAAGAAAACTGCCAGACATTTTCAAAACAAGCCAGCTTCTTTTTTTCTTTCCTTTTTTCTCTCCTTTTTTCTTTCCTTTTTTCTTTTCTTTTCTATTTCCTCTTGTTCAATTACTGTTTCTCCTTTTCAATCAGTGGGAAATCAGCCCAGCGTGTCCGGAACGTGAAGACTCTGATACCATCGGGGGAGCCTTCAGTCCTCAACAGGTGGCGCACGTAACCAGGCCACTGGCACATAGTTTTTGTTACGGTTTATTTTGGTTGGTTGTTTTTCTTGTTTTTCCCTTTCGGCCTCTTTCATGTTTTCGTTTTTTCCCTTTTGATGAGTATGGTTTCTGGGAATGGCTGAATACAGAAATAAAACTTCAGGAAGATGGAGGTGAAGCTTGGAGCATGTGAAAATTGACTTCTACTCGTCTTCTTGTGCTCGGTATCGTCTCATCTCTCGGTGACTAGGCCTGGAACGAGCTAGTTAGACCCCCTCTCCCCGCCTGGGTTCACTGCGATAGGAATCGGCCGCTAGATGCCCTGCCTCCCCCCCCCCCACCTCGTTTCCCCCCATCGATGAAGAAGAGAGAACATTTTAGTCTCGAAACTACATACACTTTTAACCCCTGACGTGCATTCTTGTTCGAAGGAACGTCTCGTGCCCCAGATTCGAAACGTATGTGAAAAGCAAGAAAATCCAACGGCGTAGAAACCGAATGTTTTCCTAAAACATTACGCTGTTAGTGTTTACATCTTATTCCCCTGAGAGAGAAAATATGTTTGTTTCGTCTCTTTTTTAGATGTCATCATAGACAGGCGCCTAGAAAAGCCAACTGTCAGAACAATCCGGTATCTTTTTAAGCAGGGCAATGAAAAAGGGGAAAAGCTACCTCTAGGATTCAGGTCCTGGTGCTTTGACTCTGTTCAGAATTAGGTCTTGTGCTCTGTAAAAAGGTACTGTGATGGAAATTTACGAGTTAAACGTAAGAAGTTTGAGGTCGACACTGGCAGGTCCTTACTTTTTTTTTCTTTCTTTGTCGGTATTACTTTTTCCCAAGCACTAAATGACCACAACTGTGCCGATGTGCTTCTCGTTTTCTCAAACATGCAATAAGAGCTCCACTGTTTGTTTTCGGGTTATTCTTGTGACGTCTGGAAGTTTATTCGTTTGCTCTGCTTTATTGAAGTACAAAATATATTTTACAATACAGCTGTAGCCACGGCTGGTGTGAGTGTGGTGTAGCAGTTAGACACCTCGTTATCGCACGCGGAAAACGTAACTTCGATTTCAGTGTATGGAGAAATTTTATCGAGTATATATCCGTCTTTCCACTGGGACGTTGTATCCCTCTACTTAGCTCTACTTGGCCTAGATAGACAAAGTCGAGACAGCCCATCTCCTAAATGACCTAATTTGCTATCAATGCAGGGCATACAAAAAATTACAGCTTTAGCAATTTTCACCCAAACTCAGTTTAAGTGGAATAACAATCTCCTTTCTGAAATTCATCTCGAGCTACGCAATAACAACAGGGCAATGCCAATATGGTATTATTTGTATATGTATTTATTATCTTGTTAAACTTTGTAAGGTAATTAGAAAGGGGAATCTCTTAACGTGTGCATCTTTGAATATGAACGAGCCGGATGAGTGGGGGGGGGGGGCGGTTCTTCAAACAGCCGTTCTACATCACAGTAAAGCATGATGTCCTCTGATCCAGCAGTGCTTCGGTGGGTCGTTGGTGGGTACTCTGGTGTGGTTTGCTCCTTCTTTCCTATCAAGCACCTATCGTCCGTGTCTCTCCTCCTTCTTTTTGGTGTATGTTACTCTCTTTGTAACTCATCTTTTCTTCGGCACTTAAATGACCTTACTGTGCTGCATGTGCCGTTAAACTCCTACGAAAACTAAAAGAATTGCTTCCCTTTTAATGCTTTACGAGTGTTTTATTTACAAGGCTTTTAGATTGTGTGGATTTTTTTCTAGAACACTTCTTGTACATTTATGAGATCGAGCGTGTTCTCAGAATGTTTTTCTATTTACAACTGTGCTTGGTCGTTTAGACGCACACTAATGCTACTTTTCGTTTAGAGAAAGGAGAGGCAGACAAACGTAACTGGCTGCTGAGCTGGAGCGCATCGCGATATTTTGGGAAAAGTTTTCAGAGGGGAATCACCGCTCCCGTGCGTCTTATAACAAAACTGCGTCTCGTAAGACGACACCGGAAAAGAGGCTGTTCTGAAGCTACAAACGTTGGCACTGTCAAAACAGAGCAATATGGGGGCTTTCAAACACTGAGGACATATGACTGAAAGGAGAGGGGGGGAGCAGGGAGGGGGAGATAGAGAAAGAGTGAGAGAGAGAGAGAGAGAGAGAGAGAGAGAGAGAGAGAGAGAGAGAGAGAGAGAGAGAAAGATTGAGAGAGAGAAAGAGAAGGAAGCAGATATAGAGACAGACGGGAGAGGGTGACAAACAAGAGGGGGAGAGAGACAGGGCGAGAGAAGGGGAAAGAGCGATATTGAGGGACGGGAGAGACAGGGAGAGTGGAAGAGAAAGAGAGAGGAGAGAGAGAGAGAGAGAGAGAGAGAGAGAGAGAGAGAGAGAGAGAGACAGAAAGAGAGGGAAGAAAAAGAGAGAGGGGAGAGAGAAGAGAAAGACCAGAGAGAGAGGCACAGGCAGAGAGAGAGAGAGAGAGAGAGA